TATTCGAAAGCTCCTCCGATCTGCTCAATCCCTGACGCCTCCTTCACGTTGACCCAGTCGATGAACTGGGAGGCGTCAGCGGCGACCAAGGAGGGAGTGGGCTTCCTCGCGCTTGTCGTTGTGCTTCTTAGAATAGCGCAAAAACTTCAGCTTGGGAGAACCAGTTGGAAGTCCACTTCTTCTGCCACTGGCACGTCTTGATCCCGAGCATTGCCGTGAAGGAGCTGGCTCGGACTTCATCGACTCTGCCTTGAGACTTCATGGAGGTGTGCAACTTACCCGCGGAATCTTGCAAGCTGGAAACAATCCACTCGCGGAATTTGAGGTGTGAGGCTGCTGCTGACCTGCTATCCAATGATTGCGCTATCTTCCTTGGACACTCTCGGATGAGTACCGAGGCTTCGAAGGACAAGTAATATGTGCCGAGTGAACTCGTAGCCCAATCACTTCTGTCTTCAACCAACACAGCGCCCCAACCAGTAGTCGGCATGTCTGGTGCTGCATCGCGTAATCTGGCGGTCAAAAAATTGATCCTTTTGGCAGGTAATCGTCGCTCGTGTCCGTGCCCGCTGAACATTTGATCGTCGGTGTTCTTCTTGCCTGGCTTCCTGACTGCAACGAGTTCCCCAATCCAGCTGTCGACTTGCCACCGACGCATCGAGCCATCTGAGCGCGACCGAGTAGCGCCTCGCAAAAATTCAATTGACCTCCTTGAAAGGCCGGGGGTCGCCTCTGCCACAGCGCTGCCGCGCCCCGGCTGATGGGGGGCCCCAGGCTCTGCGCAAATAAAACTCCATGCGCGAGACGCAGTGTCCATATTCAACTCCATGGGCCGCGGGCGCTGTCGGGCGAAATTGAAGAGCGCGAGATTCTCGGATCCAAGACGGCGGGGAAGAGCAAGAGCTTTACTCGAGCATATTGCAGCGATTGAATCCCAGAGCTCATTCAATCGAGAGACTTCCCGCTGCGAAAAAAAGATCCGGTTTGCAATCTGGCACGCCCCCCCTGAACGACTGACCTCCACAAGTCACTAGACCCGCGGAGCAGCCTGGCCATAATCGCAAAACTCCCCGATCAAAAACTCACGAGTCGCCCCGAGGAAACACGCGCGCACACCAGGAAAAGCTTTTCCAACTTTCTCTGCCTCGGCACCCTCGCCCTCAGGAAAACAGCGCGGCCCCCCTCCTCCTCGAGCTCCTGGGGGCCTGCTGTGGCCACCTTGTCCGCCCGCTCCTGCTCGCACTCCAATTCTCGCGGCGCCCCTCTTGCCGCGGGGGTCCGCCACCTTGCGCTTCGGCGGGGGGGCTGAGAGGGGCGGGGGAGGCCGAGCACGCTACGAGCGTTCGCTTCAGGCGCGAAGTTCAACTCAAGACAACGCCGCAGCGATCGCCTCCGTCTGGTGGAATCAACTGCGAGACGCCACGCAGACCGCAAAAATCTCTGGATGCAATGCAATAATAAAAAATCCGTTGACCTGCATCTCGGGTCGGCGCGCGCGGCGCCTTCTGGAAACAAATATATCTGCTGACCAAGTGTGAATCCATTTGTGCATCCTTGGGCGCGGCGTTGATGTCTCCGAACACTGCCCACGGCCCCGTGCGACGAGCCAGTAGAGCCGAGACAGTCAGCAGCTTCTCCACGTTGATACCGCTCGCCGCACCGATTGAAGCTGTGAGGTACACGCCCACGATGAGAAGCGATGAGTACGTGGTCGACCATTTCGCGAAAGCTCAGGGAGCCCGGCGCCCATTTGCTTTTCTGGGATCTACCAATCCGAGGGCGTGACTCGCATCGCCTGGAAGGTGCCGGAAATACTGAAAGTGAAGATGTCGCTTGATGCCCATAGCAATACCTCCTGCCCTGTCGCGGGCGGCTGTCTTGCACGCAGGGGGCGCTATCCCAGCGCACTTGTGCAGCGGTCAAAAACTGAGTACGTCGTTTGCGCCGCTCTCGAGCACGCGGGACTCGGGCGCGGCGATTACGTCGGCGGCCTGGTCGGAAAAAAAGCTTATTGGATTTGGTTCCCCAGAACGAAGGGTTCTGAACAATCACCTTGCGATGCTGCGGCTGCGCCGAAACATCGGACTTCGGCTTCGGGTAGAGCCACTCGGTACTAAAGATGCGGGGGACGTAGACCAGCGCCTGCACCGTCTGCCCCCGCAGCCATCTTGCTCTGGGCCATGGGCTGGGCGTCGCTGGTCTTAGCCTCGGCCACCAGCCTGCCGATCTCCTCCTTGGACGGCTCGTCGAACTCGGCTGGCGCTGGCGTTGGCTCCGCCGCGGTGGGCCCGCTGCTGGCGCTGGCTGCTGCGCCTGCAGCCGCCCCTGGAGCGGTGGCCTCGGAGGGGGGAGCGCGTTCGGGAGGTCGATCTTGGGCCTGTTCACCTGCAGCCACGGCTCCGTCGTCGGCGCGTCGCTTCTCGATGGCCATCCTGGTCTGGAAGTTGTGGAACTCTTGCTTGCGGGCCGCAAGTCCTTCTGCTGAGGGGCCGACGGCCTTGGCGATCAGGTCTTTGATATCCTTGGCGAGGGTCTCCTTGAAAGTGGCCCAACGCTGAACCCCGGCGGCTTCCAAGCCCAACTCAGAGAAGTCGAACGTGTCCCCATCTTCAGAATGCAACAAATCGGCGAGCGTGGATTCGTCCGTAGCTGATAGCAAGGCGGACAGGTTGATCGCCCCAGCTGCAGCAGGTGCTGGGCGAAGCCATCTCTCCTTGTAGTACACGCTTATATCTATTCTGCATACGCAATGGCTGATCCGCAAGCAAAAACGATTATTCGCCCTCCTTCTCGTGTTGCACGGCCTTGTCGGGCGCCCCCTTTCGCCCGCCTGGCCGCCGCGCCAGCTGCCTGAAGCTGGTGTTCGCGCACGCGCGCGGGGCGGACGGGGGCGGCGGGCTTCGGAGACGGTGGAGCTGCCACGGTCGTGGCCAGGGCTTTGAACTGCTCGGCGGCGCTGGGCGGCAACTTCTTCTCGAGGCATTGGAGCAACTGTCCGGTGGTCGGCGAGAAGGGGGAGTCCTGGAGCATGCTGTAGGTGGTGACCTGGCCCCAGCCTCCTGGTGGGGCTGCTGCGAACGGGCTGGGGGGGTTGGGTGTCGTACTCCAGCTTGGGTCCTTCCACCACGTAGATGACATGTTCGCCCACGCTCCACGACGCTGCTGATGTCCGTGTCCAGCGGTGCTCGGTTGAAGAGCACCTCCGCACTTCCAGCATGCTGTATGACTGAAGAAATTCCATTGGCAAAAGGCAACGATTGCAAGCCACATAGCCAGCGCGAATATGCCTCTGCTTTTTGCCATCACCGTGTCCTGCTGACATTGAAATGTGGAAGTCGTCGAAGTGCTCCTGCGGGAGCTCACCAACCCGATCTGGGGCGGACCAGGCCGAGTACGCTCCTCCAGGAGCTCACTGAAAGCTGTCGGGCAGGCGCCCTGGCACTGCCGCGGAACAGCGGTGTCCGCAATTGCCAATGCGAGTTCAGCCCGCGAATGGAAAGGTCTTGAGCCAAAATGGCTACGGAGGACGAGGAGGAGGAGGAGGAGGAGGAGGAGGAGGAGGAGGGATGAGGAGGAAGGAGGGCTGGAGGAGGACGAGGACGAAGACGAGGAAGAGGAGGAGGAGGAGGAGGGAGGAGGAGGGAGGAGGAGGAGGAGAAAGGAGGAGGTGGAGGGGGAGGACGAGGAGGAGGAGGAGGAGGAGGACAAGGGAACAGGCCCAGACCGCGGACCGCGGGCCGTGGACCGCGGAAAAAGCTGCAGGCCCTCGCGGGAACACCTGTGCAAGGCGCTCTGCTGCAAGGCCACCAGCAGGGGCGCACGTCGACAACTCCTCCTCCTCTCCTCCTCCTCCTCCTCCTCCTCCTCCTCCTCCTCCTCCTCCTCCTCCTCCTCCTCCTCCTCGCTCCTCCTCCTCCTCCTCCTCCGCCTCCTCCTCGCCTCCGCTCCGCTCCGCCTCCGCGCTCCGCCGCCTCATCCGCCTCCTCCCCTCCCTCCTCCTCCTCCTCCTCCTCCTCCTCCTCCTCATCCTCCTCCTCCTCCTCCTCCGCCTCCGCCTCCTCCTCCGCCCTCCGCCCCGCCTCCGCCGCCTCCTCCTCCTCCTCCGCCTCCTTCCTCCTTCCTCCTTCCTCCTTCCTCCTCCTCCTCCTCCTCCTCCGCCTCCTCCTCCTCCTCCGCCTCCTCCTCCGCCTCCGCCTCCGCCTCCTCCTCCTCCTCCTCCTCCTCCTCCTCCTCCTCCTCCTCCTCTTTCTCCTCGTGAGGTTTTGGGATGGGCCAGAAATGTTGGACCCAGCCCCGCGATGTACTTTGGGGGGCGTCCTTTCTCGAGGGGGTGCGTCCGAATAGCCCCCTTAGGGCGTATCCCAATGTTTCTCCCTGTTTCTGAGCGGCCAAACTTCTCGGGCGGAACTCGGGGGTTGGGGGAGACATCTACATCATCCGAGCGGAGCACGGGTCGCCAGCAACAACCTCACCCGGGAAGGGGTCAGAGAGATAGCGACGGCAGTACCCACACAGTCGATCCAAATGCCAGAGAGAACTAACGGATCCCCCTGTGTCGACAACTGCGACAGCACATTCTGTTTCCAAGCCTTTCTCAGTGCACGAGTTCCGGAGCACCCAGGCTCAGTGCTGACACGCGCGCGCTAGGCTCATGCCTCGGCACTCTCCTGCTGTACGCAGATGGAGAGAGTAGGGGAACGAAGAACGAAAAATACATAAGACTCGGAGGTCCGCGCGGATTTCTCGAATCGGCGCTGGACCCCCCTCCCTGGCGCGCGGAGCGCGCCAGGGGCGGCGCCGGAGGCGCCGCCAGGGGGGTCCAGCGCGGATCCGAGAAATCTGCGCGGACCTCAGAGTTTTTATGTTTCTGTCGCTCTTCGTTCCCCTAGAGAGGGGAGACGGGGGACAGAAAGAGATGGAGGGGAAGGTAGTGGGGGAGAGGGAGAGGGAGAGGGAGAGGGACGGACAGGTGGCGGGGGCGGGGGGGGGGGGGGAACGTCCGTGCATGTTGTGCTCAATGATGGCCGCCCCGGCTTCTCCGAAGCCGAGCGCCAGCAGGGTCCCCAGCTTGATGATGGTCTTCTCGAGGACGACCGTCTCCATCAGCTCGCTGGCGTTGACCTGACTGCCCTTTCCTCACGCATTCCCGGGCGCTACGGAGAACGAATGGTGCAACCAAAATGTACAGCGAAAATGCTGCAAGAGATACCCGTCGGTCGGAAGAAGCATGTGAACATGAAGCAGGAACGCTTTGGAAGCAGAGTGGGCTGCTAACCGCCTCCTGAAGAGGAGGGAAGCACGAACACCACTCAATCCTTGAAGTAGGAAGGCGGGTAAAAGTAGAGCCGCACGTATAAGGATGCAAGGGCTTTTGGAGGCCACGTCGACTCTCTGCGGGCGGGGCGCGGCCAGCGAAAGCGGCCAAGGAGGGGCCGAAGGCGAACGGTGCAGGGCTCATCCTTACTGTGCGGGTTGACTGCAGATTGTAAGCACATCCCTACTCTCAACGACCGGCGCGCACGGCTGCCAGCTTCGATCCCTCCAGGACGCCTGTCCCCGGCCACCGCGACCACCGCCCCAGCTTCGCCGCCCCCGACCGCCCAAAACCCATGGTCGGGCGGAGGGACCCTGCGCCGCCAAATGACCCACCAACCTGCCAGCCGACGTACCTGCCTGCCCACCTTCCCCCTTTACCAACTACCACTGCCCCTGGAACTACCCCTACTGCTGCCGCCTGGACACATGATACATGCTTGCATACATGTGTACGTACATACACACACACACATAAATGCATACATACAACTATACATGAGCCTCCGAGGGGGGAGGAGGAGGAGGAGGAGGAGGAGGAGGAGGAGGAGGAGGAGGAGGAAGGTGGACGAGCAGGAGGAGGAGGAGGAGGAGCAGGAGGAGGAGGAGCAGGGACCTGAATTGAGGGCCCCTCCCTTTTTGAACCATAGGGACCCAAGATCGCCCCAGGGTGCCTCCGAAACTCCTTTTCTGTGGATGCTGGCGACAAAAGCTGCACGCGGCATCGACGCCCTCGGCCGGAGGCCGAGGAAATAGCCTACTCTGGGTTTCCTAATAAACGTGGGGGGGTAACCCTCCGACGGGGGTCAACCTCGCCTCGTCGTCGCGCCGCGAGCACGCCCAAGGGGGGGCCTTGGCGGCGGGGGGCGCGGCCGCAGCCGCCCGTGGGCCCGGGGGTCCCGCGCGGCTGCGGCGTGCGGCTCGCCCTCGTCGTCCGCGCCAGGGCGGGGTCGGTGCCGCAGCGAGGAGGCGCTCTGGTCCTCGGCCTCGTCGTCGCCGTCGTGCTCCTCTCTGGAGGGCCGCCGCCGATGCTGATGGGCCCATTGTCCACCACCACCACCACTGCCATACGCAGAAGTGGGAGGAGGAGGAGGAGGAGGAGGAGGAGGAGGAGGAGGACCTCCTCGTCCTCCCTTCGCCCCCGTCCTGCATATGGTAATGGTGGTGGAAAAATTGCCCATTGCCCATCAAATGCGGGCCTGGGAATGGCATGCACCAGCACGTGTCCGCGAATGTGACCCTTCCGCCCTGCGCGTCCGCCAGGATCAACGGCGCCGCTGTAGACTCCGCCTGCCAAGTTCTGTCAAGCTTGTGGCCTGTGCACTCCGATCTGGACGACATATCAGTCGCAACGAGCCGTAGACACGCCCCAGAAATCGAAAAACGTGATCAGCAATTGCTTGTTGAACGCCAAGCGCGTCGCAACGAGCCGTAGACACGCCCCAGAAATCGAAAAACGTGATCAGCAATTGCTTGTTGAACGCCAAGCGCGCCTGAGCGTTGAGTCGAAATGGCTACGGACGTGAGAGGTATCCCACATGAGGGCGCCGGAGACTTCACTTGTGAAACCAAGCGTCTGGCACTCATGCAGCACGGAGCACGTGTCTTCACGCATGTAGGCGCCAATGGTGGGCGTCTTGAACGCATACTGCCGGCACGTGTTTTCACGAGCGCCCCCTGTTCGGCCGCGCCTCCCCCCTCTCCTCCTCTTGGTGGCATAATTCGCTTTAACGGCATCCCCGTTTAGGCATCCCATCGCCAGCGCAGACGTCCCCTGCCTAGCCGCCGACGTGCGCGGAAGAAAGGTCGAGCCTGCCGCTGGCACGCGCCAAGCGGGGTATCCAACACGGGAGCGCCAGATGTGTCACTGCGGAGTATGCGTGCGCACAGGGGGGCGGACGGTCGAAGATGCGAACAGCAAGCTGTACATTTGGCATGTCTGAACACGTGTAGGCACCAACGGGAAGTATTCAACATTGGGGGAACGAAAAATGGCACAAACATAAAAAAATCCGGAGGTCCGCGCGGATGTTTCGGATCTGCGCTGGACCCCCCCGGCGGCGCCTCCGGCGCTGCCCCTGGCGCGCTCCGCGCGCCGGGGGGAGGGGTCCAGCGCGGATCCGAGAATTCCGCGCGGACCTCCGGATTGTTTTATGTTCATGGCTTGGCTCGTTCCCCTGTGCGTGTACGCGCCAAGGCGGTATACGACGGGGGCCGCCGGATTCTTCGCGCGTAAGAATACGCGCGCGGAAAAGGGTCTCGGCCTGCGAACGTTCGTCTGCCACGCATGCCCTTGGCACGCGCCTCCTGGTATCCGACACGATGGCGCAGGACCCCATTAGCCGAGAAAATTGGAGGCCTGGAAATTGGCACCAACAGCAGCACAAGGGGGTGCCTCCACAGATGGGGAAGATGTTCCTGGATTTCGGTGTTGGTGGTAATATTTCGGCCACCTTGGAAGCTAGAATATTACCACCATCACCGAGATCGGGATCTTCTTCCCTCGGTGGAGGCACACCGCCGATATTGGTGTTGGTGTCAACCTCTAGGCCTGCGAGAAAACGCCTGTGCGGCGGGAGGTTCGTCGAACGCGCGTGCGTAAAACTGGAGCGCGTTCGCGCGCGTGCGCGCGCGTGTCCGATGTGTGCGAGGGCCGGGGTGCGTCGAACCTTTTTTCTCGTCGGCGGCGAGGCGGAGCTGCTGCACCAGCGGGAGAGCTGAACGTGACTGCTTACCGGACCACCCCAGCCCAACCCGAAGACCCGCATTTCGGGTTGGGGGGGGTACGGGTTTCACTCGTGTTTTCTCGATGTTCCCCGACCCCCCCCACTGGAAATGGAGGGCAAATCGGGACCTTCGGGTTGGGTTGGGGTCGTTTGGTGGGCGATGAAAACGGGGACACCGAGAAGCGAACTGCCCAGCGTGCAGGAGGGGAAGGGTGTCAAACAGGCGCCTGGCACGCGTGCACGCTCGCAGGCGCGGCGGGAGGCATCCAACACATGGGGGCAGAGGCCAAAATTATTGATTCCTCTAGTGTTTGAAGGATTTTGGCATTTGCTTCTTTTCAGCCTACCGACGGCCCGAGACGGCGGCCCAAGAGCCCCCAAAGATCGCCCCAAGATCGCCCAAGAGGCCTCCAGGATGGCCCCAGAACGGCCCAAGACGGCCCCAAGAGGGCCCCAAGACGGCCCAAGAGGCCTCCAAGACGCCCAAGATGGCCCCGAAGACGGCCCTGGAGCACCCCAAGAGGGCCCCAAGTCGGCCCCGAGAGGCCCCCAAAACGGCTTCCGACGGCGTCAGACTGACCAGGAGCCCACCAAGATGACCAAAGATGCCCCCGAGAAGCCCCCAATAGGCCCCCAAGAGGCCCAAGGAGGCCCCAGAGATGCCTTCAATAGGCTCCCAGGAGTCCCCAAGAGCGCCCCCAGAGGCTACCAAGATGCCCCCCTTCTTCTCCTTCTCCTCCTCCTCCTCCTCCTTCTGCTCCTCATCCATCTTCTCCTCCGCCTCCTCCTGAGATTCCCCGCCATTCTCCCCCAAGTGTTCCCCGAAGGGTTTCCACAACGGTTGGGGGAACACATGGTCCGATAGCTTGGCAGAGCTCTTTCCACAACGCTCGGCCACAGGGGCGATTCTAGAAGGCAGGGAGCGGCAGTGATTCGCCGTAGGCGTCTTCGATAACGCCAACGTTTCAATGTTCGCTCATGATTCCTATCCGCCCCCACATGCGCCAAGGCAGCACCGAGACGCATCGACGCGACTCTGCGTTATATATATAGCATTATGATAGAAAGGGGGGGGCGACGGCAGGGGGCGAAGCCCTTACGGATAAGAATAAGACTTACAACTATAAGCATGGCAACAACAATATCAAATAGCCTTATCAATATAAAACTAATTATACCAACAATAATAGTAATAATAACGATAACGATACAAATGATGAGATTAAGGAGAACAATAAAAATAGTAAGAACAACGACAATAATATGAAAAGTGATGATAATAGCAATAGCAATAGTAATACAAATACTACTTAGTAGCACTATCCTTCTACTACCACTACTACCTCACCTCCTACTTACTGTACGGTAGTCAGACGGGACCATGGACACATTCGAGCCCTCTATTGCCTACGCGACATGAGAGCGGCTGGGGGGGCAACTACCTGTCTAATATTTCCCAGACCGACCTTGAAACTTGAAGCGGGTTTGTATCATGCGGTACATCTGCACCCGAAGATCAATGGAACTTAGCCTTCTGTCTGCTGCACGCACCCGCCGAAGGCAGGATCCACAGATAGCTGTGGTCGCTGCCCTCTGCTTCAAGGCTGCTCCGCAGCAAACCCGGAGAGGCGTTTCGGCGTCTCTCTGAGAGCGCATCGCCTTGGGCCAGCAACCAAGCTTGTCGTAGTAGAGGGCGTACAGCGGTGCCACACGGCTCGCCCGCGTACGAACCTGCCTGTACGTTTTTCTCGCCTTTGCCTTCTCTTCCAGGTTGAACTCCTTGTCCGCCATCCGCCTGGCCATCATCGGATCGTGGCGGATCGCCTCCACCTGAAGCAGGCAAGAAGAAGATTCGAGCTGAGTGGGCGCATGAATCCACCCTCCCGACCTCAACGTCACTTCCCACCTGTCAGTGGGCACCAGCGGTCACATCGAAAGCGTGGGGAATCTGGACAACACAG